AGGCGCCCGCCGCGTGGGCGAGAAACGCGACAGCACAGGTTCCCTCGGCTCAGCGAGGAAGCGCGAGCTCGCACAGCGCTCACACCCCCGGGTGCTGGGGACGCGCCCCACGCTCTGCGACGCGTCAGCTGCCGCTTCTGCGCCTGCAGCGGCGGGACGCTGGGCTCTCGGGCCTGAGCGGCCTCCAGCAAGCACACAAACGGGTGGAAACCAGCCACCTGCGAGAGCTTCCGGAAGCAGCTCTTTGGTAACTGCCCACGCTCTGTGGAGTGGGGTGCGGGGGTCCTTGCCACCTGATCAAAGGTGTGCCCGAGCTGCGGGTGCCTTATTCCCGCCCAACGGGACCGACCGCCCTGCAGCCTTGTCCACGGGCGCTGGAGGGTGACACGTGACACACAGTCGGTTTTAGATGACGACAGCACTTTGCACAAGCAAAAATGGCTCCGAGCTCATGATAAGTATTCGATGCCAACTATCATTATTCCGGGAGTAAAAATGGCTCCAAGCTCATAAGTATTCGATGCCAACTATCATTATTCCGGGAGCAGGTTTAAATCAACGGACGTTAGGGTGAGAATGCATTAACACAACGGAAAACATTTAACCACACATCGTTTGGAAGTGGACGCTTCTCACTTAGCACAAAGTTCCCAGTCACCAGTCAGAAGTGACTGCCGTGCGTCCCTCTCACGCCCTCCCCCTGGCGAGACACATGAGCAGATGCCGGGGTGCCCCTCCCGCCATCACCTGGTGGCCTCTGGGATGACAGGCAACTGCAGCTCAGGGTCGCCGTCCCCAGCGAGGCTGCATCGCCGCACTGGGCAGGGTCCGGCCTGGCTCTCTTTCTGACAAGAACCGAGAAACCAGACAAACCCCTGCTTTGCAGGGGGTCGTGGACACACCGCTTTTCAATACAGCTAATCCTACTGACATTCGCGGGACGGTCTTGGGCACCAGGCGGCACCAAGGCTCTCTGCCCTGCGTGCTGGACTCTCACTTGGGGTAAAGACAACAGCTTTCTGACGGAGGCCACTCCCTGCGGACGACGAAGCCGAGGAGCAGAGGCCCTGGGTCCCCAAAACGCCTCGAGGCTGGGGACTCGGGCAGCCGTGCCAGGTGCCGTGATTAGGGCGACCGTACCGGGGCAGCGCTCCGCAGCAGCCTCCGCCCCTGTCCCTTTGTATGCGGGAGCCCCGGAAAGCGTACACACTAAGTAGTCTGCGACAGTTACTTTTTCACTTAGAACAAAAAGGTTTTAAGCGTGTAATTTAACTATTCAATCCGAAAAAATAAACCCTTTTGCCTTTATCGAGCACAAAAGAAAATGCATACTGGGCCCACACTATTTTGATTAAATCTTCACTGATTTAATCGCAGGCCTTTATGTATGCTCGTTGATTTATCGTTAAGCTATCTGGCAAAAATCTGATTGGCCCTATCTTGAAATAGTGTGACAAGCAGAACTACTGTATTTTGTATGCTTAGTTAGCAGAGACACTAGGACGTGCTGGGCACGTGTTTGTCACAGTTTTCCCTGTTTCCTTTCATCATGGCCGTCACCCATTTTTAAACCCCTTTCTGGAAACAGGCAGCGAACGGCAGCACCCGAGACCTAAACCGTTTCCTCTCGTTTTCAGCCAGCGGCTCCTCCTCTGCGCCGCGGGGACCCTTCCAACCAGCAGCCCCAGGATCCACGGACCCCAAACCACTTCCCTGCCACGTCCCCTGGAGAGAAATCTCAAACCCAACACTCGTGACCAGGACGACAGGCATCATTTTCATTCCTCTTTGTTTTCCAAAGCTTTTCTCTAAACTTAACTCTTTTCCTGAAAATTCTACACAAAAATAGTCCGGGTTATATTAACCGTTTTGGACAAAACCTGATGAATTGTAATCTGAATTATAAATCGACTGCCATACTGGAGTGAGATGAAGAAAATAATCATCTTTAGTGAATATAAGGAAAAGGAATGTTAATTTCATCTTCTCCAAAAGCAGTGATTTTAAAAGCTGTCTTGAATTATACACTTTTTCTCAGCTCAGCTATTGCTAAACTGAAGGGCATTTTACTGGAACAGCCTGAGGACTGAGCTTCAGGTGAAAATCTCACGTTCTCTCCTCCCTAAGTCACCCAAAGGGGATCATATCATCATCTTAACTATGTCTTCTTTTTCCTTGATATAGTTCAAGAGAGCAGCACGATTTCTTTAATGAACACTGTCTTCTGTCTGGCTTGGAGTAACGGCTTCTTAGACATGAACGTTGGTTAAACCTCAGTAAGGGAACTTTTTTAAATGAAGTAATAAATGAAACCGGTTAAAAACGAGTTTATAAAGTGAATTCCGCTTGCCCTTTCTGAGCCACTGGAGAAAGGGAGGCACCTGGAATGGCATGGCAGAGGGAAGGCTGTTCTAGATTAAAGGCTGTTCAACCCTCTGACCCCCGGAAGACGGGTTCCGCCGTCTGCCACCTGTGCTTCCCTTCGCTCCGCTAGGAACGTGACCGTGAGGCTCTCGCTCTCGCGCGTGCGTCTCACAGCTTGGGACACGGTCGGGACTCAGACTTACCAGAGGTGGGTGCAATTATCCGACGAGTGGATCACGTCAGGCCAGTATATCTTCATGTCTTGCACAAGATCCTACGTATAAAAAAAAGGAAAAAGAATTTATGTAGGACTGAACAACTGGACACCTACAAGGCAAATGTGATCAACGAACACACGAGAGAACCGAGCCCTGCTCATTAATAAGCCGCTCTTACTTTACTGCAAGTGTTTCTGAAGACGTATCTCAAAGTGAAATCTGAGTAATCATAAAAGTACATTTGAAAACACAAGCTCTCACAGGCGAATGGGCAGACGGTGGCACATTAGGACAATGGGATATTATGTAGCACTAAAAAGTAATGGGCTATCCAGCCAAGAAAAGACGTGGAGGGACCTGGAATGTACATCACTCGGTGAAAAAGCTACATACTGTGTGATTCTAACCACGTGGCACTCCGGAGACCACATGGAGACCAGGGGCGGGGGAGGTGGGGTGGAGGGAGGAACAGACGGGGCGCCCAGGATTTACGGGGCGCCCAGGATTTTCAGGGCGGTGACGCTATGCTGCCTAATACCATAAGTGATGGTGGGCGCAGGTCATCACACGTTTGTCCAAACCCTTAAAACGCACGGAGGGCCCTAAAGCAGACTGTAGACTTTGCTTAATGATAAAGTATCAGTACCGCTTCACTTGTAACGGACGTGCCAAAGGTTTCTAAAACTGTTGAAAAGTAACGTCGACTGATTAAAGCAAACACCACCACCACCAAACGCAGTCTCCCTTCCCCAGAGCAGCTGCCTTGGCTGGGCCGGTGCCTCCCACACGGCAAATAGCTACCCTGAACCAAACCGTGTTCAAGTTCACTTTTCAGTGTCTACACACCCCCTAGGCCAAAGAAGTTTCCATTAAAAAGGTGTATGAACAAACAGGCATGACCATCGCCCCCCCGGAGCCTCGCTCGAGTCCACTGTCCTAAGCCCTGGCCACTTTGCTCTCCAGGCACACGGTGCATAACTCTGCATGCATGAGGTGACCTCACGAGCACCTGTCTCCCCGGGAGCAGCGTGGGCAGTCTGGGGATCGTCTGGTTCTGCTCTCCGTGTGTCCCCAGCCCCTGGCACACAGCGGGCCCTCAGCCCACTGATGCCAAATGAAGCAACTTCTAAAGCCACTTCAGGATCACAGGGTTTAACCGGAAACGCCCCCAAGGCATTCCGGGGGCTCGAGTGAGTCCGGGAAGAGGGAAGTGTGTCAGCGGAGGCCGCTGTCCCCAGGCTCTGGGCACACTGACCATTCCCATGCTGGCCAGCTGCACGAGAAGGAAGAGTGGGAAAAGTCCCCGTGGACCAGGGCCTGCGGTGGGCTCCGTCCTCCTGGGCCGTACGTGCCCAGGAAGGACCCGCAATTCTGGCCGACCCTGGCCCTGCCCCATGTGGCCAGGGAGGAGCCGGTGACCTCCAGTGCCTGCCCTGTTGGTCCAGGTACCAATCACCTGACAGAGGGCTGGTTATACACCCGGGGTTGCTGGCACCCGAGGAAAGGTGAGCACATGCGTGTGCTCATGCGTGTGCACACGAGGGAGGAGTGTCTCACAGGAGCACTTCTGCCGACAGCTGCCGTACGTCCCCGTCCCACGACTCGCTCTGACACTGGAAGGCCCAGCACTCCCCAGAGCTTGCAGTGCCCACTTAGAGCCCCACCCACCCACTGCCAGAAAGGACAGCCACGGGTCCCTTCCCCAAGCCACAGCTGTCTCGATGTGCCCAACCCTCGCCAAGCTGACCGGGAGGGACCGGACAGGGGACAGCTGGGGGCTGGCAGGCCAGACCGGACAGGGGACATTTGGGGGCTGGCAGGCCAGTGCCACCAGCGCGCTCACATCTGCTTCCACTTCCCACATCTCCGTCCCCGCGGGCAGCGGGGAAGGTTCTCATTTAGCTCGCGGGAGGAACTTAGATTCTGGTCCGTACCGGCAGTTCGATCCTCGTGGACACATTCTTGGTCCCTTGTCATTTTAAAACGTGACTTAGAGAGCACACTTATAAAGAAAAGATGTCACCTAACGTGATACCCTAGAGTAGTAACGTCGTTAATACCTTAATCTCGTTGAAATTAAAGTGCCAGGATCGATTACATTTTTCAGCTTTATCCGCCCTTAAATTAAAAAATAAAAGAGAGAGATTAGTCGTGGTTGGGACGCATCCCAAATGACAGGAGAAAACTCCTCCGTTAAGGTCTGCAGGGGACAAAGGTGCTAACTGGGACTTCCTCGGGGAGTGAGCCATTTAACAGAGAAGGCCTGGGGGTGGCAGACTCAGCTGGAGCTTCTTTCAGAGAAGGAAGCTGTTGAATGCAAACAGCAGAGGAACCCTAACACACCAAGGGGGTGCTCCTCTGGCCCTGCGGTCCCCTCGGGGCTCCCAGGGGCGCGCCCTTTACAAATCCCAGAGCAGCCATGAAATGGCGGTGACAGGGAGACCACACACGTATCAGGCTGGCGCCGGGTAAGGACGCCGCATCGGCGTGCTCGCACGCAAAGCACGTCGTCCTCATGGCATTCTGCCCTCGTGTGTCAACTCTGCTTGTCAGCTCTCAACCCTGAGACGCGGCTTAGCCCGTGAGGTCACCGACTCGACCCTGCACCCTCACGGCGTGCCCCGTGTCAACAGCTGGCCCCGACCTGAAGCCAGAGCACTGGGAGCGGTGCCACGCCCTGTCAACCCCGCTCACAGGGGAGGCAGAGGCAGCAGAAACCCCACAAAGCCAGGGTCCCGGAGACGGGACCGTCCAGGATGCCAACGAGCCCGGGCGAAGCTGAGGTGACGGGCCGGCCTCAGGCCTCAGTTCCGTTTGCCTTCTGCTGACCCGTTCCTGAGGGGCACGCATGTGCCCGCAAAAGCCGGAAGGGCCGCCTCCCGCCCCAGCAGCGGGACAAGATAGAATAAGGACGGCAAATTAATATGCACGCTTTAACATCAGAAATGCCTCCCCGACAAGCAAAACAATAACGTAAACGAAATGCAGGCAAATCCAGAAATGTCAATTTGGGTGTCGGTGAAGTGTGTATGTATAATACTCAAAAGAGTAAAACAAGAAAATTAAAATTGAGTGATCCTAAAATACACCCAGAATCCTTAAATGCACATTTACACTAGACGGTGACTGTTCTAGAAACACAGAGCTGGGGTTACGTTAGAAAGATTAGCGGTATCTTTAAGTAGGATCTGATTGAATGAAGAAACTACAGTCTATTAAAATACACTTCTCGAAATCGTAAGTTAACGCTGAGGACCAGACTCCAGCTAGAGTTGCAAGCTGGCCAGCTTTCTTGGGCTAAGTTTTCATGGCATTGGGTGCTTGCCATAATCCGTGTATCGTCCAGTAATCCGGGGGGTTTCTACAGTTGTTTTCAATTTCCTAGGGAGAAAAGCAGAAAGAAAATAATTGGTTCGTTGCTGATTTTATTAACACATTTAGTAATCTTGTTTTCTTTCGACATGCATCAGTGACGTACAGGACACAAGCCTAACACAAAACAAACTCTGCATGAATTTATAATACATTTATTCCAGCGATACATTCGCGAGGGTGTTCTATTTGCAATGAGTGGACCGGTCTTCAATATAAATAAGAGAATTAAAGACCCACTTTTGCTTCTTTTATGTGTTCACAAATTAAAACAATCTTATAGAAACACTCACATTTGGCCATAAATAATTTTTTTATCATTAATCCTAAATAAACGTTTGAGAATGACAGACTGATGACAGTCTGTTAGACTTGAGTCTGTTCAGGCACCAAGTCCAAATACAGCAGTGAAATGAGAAATATTGGAAATTTGGAGCCATAAAAACACCCGGAGTTCCACTAGGAATACATACTTAGTAAGAGATAAAACCGTAGGGATAAAAATCTCAGTATAACACTTTTTAGGGATTCCTCCCCACCAACTGTTTAGCTAAAATGGAGTTTTTCCAAAATAAACCATCGAGAAATATATTCTCACTATATAAAGCAGGACTTGTGCCCAGTGTCCCCACAGTGAATATGCAAATGAGAAGCAGCCATTGGAGTCCGGTGAGGGCCAGGTGGGGGCCAGGAGGGGGCCAGGTGGGGGCCAGGTGAGGGGCGTGCTCACTCTCAATCCCTCCCTCTGCAATCATTCCACAGGGGGTCTGGAGCTTCGGGGTCTGGTCAGGTGACTGAAATATCTGATGTGAGGCAGCCACAGAATGACGGGGTGGAGGAGCAGGATGGCAAAGTGACGGGTCGGAGACGTCGCCCCCGTTCCATCCCTAAGGAACCACAGGCCGAAGCGGGCGGGCCACTTCCTAAGAGCCCGGCAGGTGGCGAGCAAAGCCAGGACCCAGGGTCCCATGTGGGCCCCCAGCCGGCTCTGCGTCTCTGAGGAGCCTTTATGGGGTGTCTGGGCCCAGTGGCAGCTTGCTTTCACCCGCGGCAAGTATTTGTCAGCTCCTGGCAGGTGCCCGAGGGACTGTGCTGAGCATGGAGGACAGCCCTTTGCCACCTCGCCAACGGGGAAGGTGCCCAGGACAGCCCTGCTGCCCAGGGTGACACCTTGACAGGAGTCACAGGCACCCTGGATGGAAATTAATTCCCTAATAACAACATTTCACGAGTGATCCATTTTTAAAATCTCATTTCTAAAAGCCTCGAGGCAGGAAAGGCACTTCCGGGTATATTTACATCAGCCACAGGCACAAACCCACATTCTGTCACAGAAATGCCCCACCCACCAAATGACCTGGTCCCCTGCCGTGAAGGCAGGCAGCTCTCCACACAGGCCCTGCCAGCAAGAACCAGGACGCTACAATTCCAAATGCCCAGGGCCAGCACCGTAGTTCAACAAAACTGAGCCCCGGGGACAGGCCACTGCACTCTCCTGCTGTCCACCCTACTCGAGATGGCACTGGAGGGAGAAGGGGACAAGAAACTAGTGAAGTTTTGCTCGCATCTGTCAACAGAAAACTCAGTGAGGAAGTGAAAGGCACATTCTGGTTCCTAAATACTGGGGGAAACCAAAGCCGAATGTCACATGAGAGCCCCAAACTACAGGGCGAGTCTAGGATGCGTGCAGCTTGCAGCAGCTAAAAGAAAAGGCCTCTTCTGACTTAGAATTTTAGGAATTCTGAATTCTTAGAATTTCAGAAATGCCGTAAATCAAGTTAGCACTAGCCCAGCAATGGGATGAAACGCGGCAGAACCGCGCAGCTAACGCCAGCTTCGCAAACTGCCCTCCAGACGGACGGCAGGGACACGGCCTGGACGGAGCAGGCGAGGCAGGGTGCCCCCCAGCGGACTGCTCTCAGGAGAGCCTCAGCAGTGACACTCTAAAAGGACAGAGGGACGGGAGACAGAGCCACGAAGAGACCGGCCCACAGAGGACCAGGGGCCCCGCCTGTGCTGAGCAGAGAGAGCCGAGGTGGCAGGGATGGTGTCTGCTCCCGGGCCCTCCCGGAAAACGTTTTAGTAAGATCTGCAATAATGGAGGGAGGGAGGGAGGGAGGAGGCAGTTGGCACCTGTGGTGGTTGAATTGTGTCCCCAAAAGGCGTGCTGAAGTCCTACACCCCAGCACCGGTACATGTGGCCTTATCTGGAGATAGGGTTTTGGCAGATGTCATCGAGTTAAGGTGAGGTCAGACTGGATTGGGTGGGGCCTACGCCCAATCTCTGGGGTTCTTAAAGGACACAGAGGGACACAAAATGGAGACGACCACATGAAGGCAGAGCAGACTGGAGCGATGTGCCCACACGCCAAGCAACACCAGGCAGTGTTGGCAACGCACGGAGCTAGCACAGGGCTTCTGGAAGGGACTGGCCCTGCCAGCACCTTCGCTTCACACTGCCGGCCTCCGGAAAGGGGAGGGAACACGTTTCTGATGTTCCGAGCCACCCAGTTTGCGGTGGTGTGTCACGGTCCCTAGGAACCTCACATGCGGCCCTCCTGGAGGAGTGTCCTGCCGGGAAGGCCCAGTTCTGCGGGCCAGCGAGGAGAGGCTGGAGGGCTGTCAGAGGCCT